GAGTCACCGACCTCGCCCAACTGTCCGACGACAGCCGATAATCGGGTTGGTGTGCAGAGGCCTTTACACAGACATACAAACAGCAGCTTCCAGATAGACACCAACAAACAAAAAAACTAAACTGCAGCCATAACACTCATCACCTGGAGGTGTCTAAATTGCAGAAGCTATTATTGCCTCTAGATGTCTAAATTTCTAGTTCTCAACCACGGTTCCCTGCCAGTAGGTGAAGCATGTGTGACTGGAACTGCAGGTCCAGAAGTGGAGGGTTTAAACTTCTGAGGGGTGTGCTACAAAGCAATTTCAACATAACCAGGCTTTTTTCACATCAGCTGCCTCGACAAAGCCTGACACCCAAGTCAGAGATAATGACAGTGGTTATCACTTTACTTTGCTAAGCCTAGGTTTTCTTCATCAGATTCTCTACTCATTCCCATTAAAAGGGGGCGTCATCTGACTTCTTCTACTACACTCTTCTTCTGCAAGGAATAGAACAATCGCATGCCACCTACTTTACAGGTCATTATGATGCAGAGCTATAAAGAATATGATAGATACAGGTCTAATTTCAATTTTTTTGCAATGTGACCTTGACCTGAACAGTCATATCAGAATTTATGTGACTTTTATGCCACTCTAGATATATCCGTCATGCGGGTCACTTCAGGACAAACAGACAAAAACAAAAAATCCAGATCTGCGCAATAAATCACAATTGAGCGCCAAAGTATGTATCATACTGAACGAATGTGATTGAGAGAAAACAACACTGATTTACTGTTTAGTTAAAATCATTAAAACTCAAGATATACAACTAATATTACAGAAAGGAGTTCCCATTATGAAAGAGGTACAAGCACAAGTGAACGATGCCAGGTGGAACATTTTCTAGCGGAACTATTACATCGCAATATCATGGATGACTGCAGAAAAATAAAATGGTTGAAAGCCGGCGAAATAAGATTGTAAGGGTAAGACCACAACCTGCAGTTCCTCCACCTAAGTCAAACTAACAGATTTATAAAGGTAAATAAAAAATGGAAAATGTACAAACTGTTTTGGGACAATAAACTTCATTCAAAATTCGAAATAATGAACTATGAACATGTTTTTTTCGATCTGTGTGAGCAGAACTCTGAGCTAGTGTGTGAGCTTGCACAACACTGTTTTGGACCTGCTACATGTGTCTGTTTTCCTGGATTTTTCTAGGAAGGGTAAAACAAAAAACACAACTGCAAATGTTCTTGTTTACACAGCAACAATATTGATGCAAGATGTTTTGTGGATTCTGAGAAATGGCATCAAGCAGGCCTTATTTTATACATAAATAATTTACTGTAAATAAAACTAAGCAGACTTAACCCTGCTATTTTCAGCGACACAACAAGCTTGTTGTCGGCAACACCAACACACACGACAGGGCCTTGAACACAGCAGAAGAGGTACCAGAAACGTTATAATAAACTGCAGAATAATCACTTTTTGTTGTCAAAATTTTTGTTGTACATAAACATTGTGAGTCTATATCCTTCTGCTATTTGTGAACAGCTGTGATAACAGATAATTTACTTTGGTTGCTGCTGAACAGCTAACAGATAATTAACACATTTTCCATTTAATAAATGTCTTACCACTTTTAACAAAGGGATGATAACATAATTTCATTTTTTATGATACTATAAACTGAGCCACTGGGTGTAAACTGCACTTGTAAATAAATGGTTGCTTTCAATATTTGCAATTCTTGTATTTGTACTTTATTTCTAACTGGGTTCTTTAATAAAAGCTTTGAATAAAAGATGGAAATTAGTAATGAAATAAAACGTTCAGATGGCTTGGTAAATTAAATCTGTGAGAAAAAAAAATTATATAATTTTTTCCTTTCCATGAAAGCTACAACATATTTTGCACATTGTCACCCTGCAGCAACTAGACAAGTGAATTAATGTAACAACCACAGCAAAGATGATGGTATTGGGGAGAACTGCATGGGTTATTTATTCGAATCAACTATTTCAAACATAGAAATGTAGCAGCTTGCAATGTCAGCTTGAGTTTGCTCTTCGGAAATATAAACTGTGCTTTTATATATAGTTTTATGATACTCCATTACATAGATGAATACATTTATATATGAACTTACATTGCATTATTTTATAGTGTTGTGACATGTTGTACCTGTAACTGTAACTGCATTCATTAACTGAGAGGATGTAATGGAGTGTATTGCATGTTGTTCTTTATGTATTTTGATTAGTGTGATTAGTGCTGTGTCATAAAGAAGAACAGAATGTTCTTTAGTAAGTCATTATCTTGTTTTACTTTTTATCCCAAATGCTGTGGGAGTGCTTGAGAAACAATCGTAGTGATTTTTCCATGCTTGAAACCACAGGCTGGGTGTCAATGGAGAAAACAAGGGATGGCCAGCCACTAAAGAGAAACAGCATCCAATTTGTGATATGTAGTGAGTTTTATGGAATATAAAGCCTGTGCCCTTCATGGACGTCATCACTTGCTGATTTTAAATTCTAAATTTGGTTGAGTTTATGAGATATGGGTTTCTTATAAAAAAAAAACGTAAATTATGTTTGTAGTGTATCTCTCCCTTGGCATGGATTTTAAAATATTAATATGCTTTCCTGTTGGATTAAAGAAATGATAATATTTTTTTGCATACCACAGCATTGGCCATCTATTCACAGATACATGGCTGCACTGACAGCAAATTCATCACTTTTAAAATAGCAAGTGAGGGCACTTATTCAGCTATAAATCTGTGACCTTTAGAGACCTTATATCTCAATTAAAAATACATGATGATTATAATCAGTCAAAAGTACCTTTTATGGTCTATAATCAAATAGTTTGTGGAACTGTGTTTTTTGTGAGTAGCATCCTGACTTTACTGTGTGTGTCACATGCATGACTTTAGTTAACAAAAATGTCAACACAATGATGGAAAAAAAAACTATAAAAAAAGGTTAAAAATACTGTAGCATGAACTATCCTTATATTTCCCAGCCCACTCTTTGTGACCTGTTTAACAAGTCTCATTAAGGTGAACAGGGGTAGCCATGGGGAGGGCCACTGGATGGTCAGATAGGTCTGTTGCCTAGCGGTCAAGGACGGTGACTAAGTAACCCCTGCATGATGCAATGGTTTCTTCCGGGGAAAGGTGATTTAATGCCTGAGTCAAGTATCCAGCAGCGTGAGCAGGAAGCGTTATGACTACTGGTGCTTTGGAGGGAAAAAAAAATAATCAAATAGAGCAGAAATGTTGCATGCAAAGCCATGCCTGATCGCATTAGGGAGCGCAGTGGTTTGTACAAGTTTTTAAAAAGACAACTGGGTGCACGGTACTAAACACTCCTAATCAACCACTGTGTCTCATTTACTGATGCAAAGTACAATGATAACCAATAAAGTAAATTAGTAACATGTATAATGCATTGTATTTAAAATGAGTGGGTTATAATTACGCTTTGAACAAAGGCCAATAAACAATGCAGCTTAGGCATAGAAACAATACTTGATTTAGCCAATACCCCACAGAAAACACGTTGGAACAGCAAATTAACGGCTAGCTGTCTGCAATTATGCTGTTTCAGTTTTTCTGTACTCATCACTTCATAATTGATGTTCTATACAAGGTTATTCAAAAATATTTTTAATATCATAAATCGATTGTTTTTAAAAATCCCTTGTATGTCACACAGACATCATAATTTTCTGTTATCTCATTTTAATTGTTGAAGATGCTACATTTTCCTCTTGCAGCCTCAAATTAAGTATCACGCTGGGAATTTGGAGATTTGTGGAACTTTACAGAAACACCTGGTCACGTCTGCCTCATAAATGTAACCAGCCTGGAGCACTTTTCAGGACTGCTTGGCCTTTACCCAAAACATAGACCAGCAGTGAGGGTAGCTACACTTCATTAATTTTGATATAAACAATATCAAAGACATAACCTTGAAGTAGCAACAGTGGAAATGCGGGCTGCAGTGAGAACAGAAAACATCTGCAAGGCGGTTGTGGCATGATCAGCTTTCAGGAGGCTGCTTCAAGTAACAAATACTTGGAATTGTGTAGACATTTTTTTTTTGATGAAGACAGAATTGCAGTTGTAGGACTGATGAAAGAAACAGTACCCACCTTCCTCAAAAATACATTTGTAACTGACATAATAAAATTCTCATTAAAACCATTACTAAATTTGAAGTGAAATGCATTAATATTATTTATGTCTCACTTAGAGAGTCAATTATCTGTTAATGTTAGCCTCTCTGTCTTTCCATCCATTACAATATTATCTTTTGCAATCTGCAGCACTTACAGGTACTTACGGCTGCCCCTCCCCTCTTATAAGCAATGTATCTCTCCATGTGAGCCTCTTCTGTCTTTCCATCCATTTATCCATCTTCCCATCCCTCCCACACAGCTCACTTCCCGCATCCAACATCTTATCAATCTCTGTCTCTCTCTATCCACCTACCCATCATCCATATGTCCTCCCATTCCCTCTTACGCCATCTATTTACCCCCTCCCTTGATCACCCCCCCTCCCTTCATACCTGTGGCCTCCACCATGCCCTCAAGGATAACCACAATCTCGAACTCCTCCTTCTCCATTTGCGCCAGTGACATCTCCCAGAAGGGGCTCTTCTCATTGATCTCATGAGAGATGATAAGTGGAGACACCAGGAACAGCCGGTCATCTCCCGTGTCAAAGCCGATGTTGATGTCAGTCTGGTTGAGTGGAATGAACTCCCCCTCCTTGGTCTGCTGCGAGCGGATCAGCTTTGCTCTGATCGATGCCTCCACGATGTGAGAGTTCCTCAGGTCCCCCACCCGAAACATCAGGCACATCTTGTTGTCTCGCACCGATATGACAGCTTTGTGCGAGAACATGAGGGTCTCGGCGCGGTTCTTTGGCTGTGAGATCTTGACAAACATGCAGCCCACCATCATGGCGTTAACAATGGAACCCAAGATGGCCTGCACCAAAAGCAGTATGATACCTTCAGGGCATTTTTCTGTGATAACACGATAACCGTACCCAATGGTGGTCTCTGTTTCAATGGAGAAGAGGAAGGCTGAGACAAAACTGTTGAGGTTCTCCACACAGGGGGTCCAGCCCTCCTCATCAGCATGCACCAGATCCCCGCGGATGAGCGCTATCAGCCACCACAGAAAGCCAAAGAAAAGCCAGTTGACTACATAGACCAAAGTGAAAATGAAGAGACTAAGACGCCAGCGTAGGTCCACCAGCGTAGTGAACAGGTCACTGAGGTAACGGTAGGTCTCTTGGACGTTTCCGTGATGAACGTTGCACTTGCCGTCCTTCTGCACGTATCGCTGTCGTGGCTTCTTTGCCGGGTCAGAAATCAAGTGGGTTCGCTCTGTCGAGATCTGAGCCTCCCGCAAGTGTTTAGGAAGCTTCTTCACCTATGTGGAAGAGGAAAGATAGAGAGAGAAAGAGAGGGAAAGTAAGGGGAGGAAGGAGAGTGAAAGCAAAGACAAAGAGAAAGAGGGAGAAAGAATGGTAGCAGTTTATGTTCACATGGGTGTACTTTACAGTAGCCACACTGATTTCTTTTAAATATTTTCTGTAAAGCTGTATTGAGTTTGTGGAGGATGTAGGTGTTAACCATTTTAATGGGATTTTTTTTCAGCCTTTACAAAACCACATTGCTCTGCACTTCTGGCGAGGAGGCAAATAACATTAAGAGCTGTTATAAAGTCACTGCTCTGTGCTACTCCACAATGACATTGTGGGTGACAGTCTATGCACATATATATAGGGAGAAAGAGAGAGAGTGAGGACACAGCAAGAACACAAGGACACCCAGGTCTTGTGTCTTTGTCTATGTTGGCCCGGCTCCAGTGAGGCGATCTGGCCCCACAGCTGTGCCCTGTCTCCCTCCTTGTCCCCTGTGTCCCCTCCCCTCGCACCCTCTGGGACATTGGCAGGCCTGGATAGGAACAGATCATCCATCCTTTCCCAGTAGAGCCTTGTGGCATACTTAAACAGAGTGGCATATGCCTGGGCACACACATTGCACTTATCTAGAAACCGGCATTCATGCATATATAGTACACACAGGTTTCTGATATTGTATGTTTTAGAATATTTGAACAATGAATGCCACAGTGCACAGGGAATCCAGTTGCCAGTTGCTTGGCTGTCTTTTTGGACAGACGCATGCATACATACAGGAGGACAGAGTTGCAAGGCACCTTCCAAACAGACCAAGGGCACGTTGGCAGCACACTGACACTTTCCAATCTGAGATGATAATTGAAATGCATTGTGTTGAGGCAAGAAAACAGCCCCTGTGTCCTCTGAATCTCTCGCTGCTAATCGGACACCTGTGATCCATCTCTCTCTAGAGTCATGCTCACAACACCAGGAAAGTTACGCCCTATTGTGGTTACACTGACTGCTCTTCTGCTCTATCACAAAGCCAATCACTCTCACAGTCCAGCCTGGGAAGGACATAATCTAAAGCAGAACAATATCCTTGCAGTGCCTTCGATTGTAGAGCCAGGATAATAAAATCTGTCGGACAGGTTTATTCAGGATAGTTTCCTTGAGATGTCAGGTGCTGTTTCACTGCTGCCCTGTGTGTGTGCACATTTGCTCAGGCCTGCGTGAACAGTATTGAGTTTGCAGATATTGATTTAAAGTGATCCCTGTTTAAGGAACGTTTCGACAAAGAAGAATTGAAAGACAATGCGTATTGACCAGCATCGCAATAAGTGGCTTGATGATAATGCATTCACTAAATGTCAATGGGCTCCCGTATTACCAACTGTGCTCAGGGATATTGGATCAAAATACAGATTCAGAACACAGTCAGTTCAGTTCACCATTGCTTAGAATGAAACTTTCATTTCTTAATGTACATATTTGTTTTTTAAATTGTTGTTAATCGCTACTACACTGCTTTTAAATGAAAGGCAGACAAAATAAGTCAGTTCATTTCCATGCTTTGTGCCGGGGTTAATTGAGTGATAGATGAAACTGTCAAAGAAGTGCTGCCCAATCTTTGGCCTTTGTAGTCAATACAGTCTGTAGGGGTGATGGTCGATAAACAAATTCATTAGTTCTCTTTGCGTGGCAGTAGTAAGTGGTGGGTGTTTTCTCTCACAGAGGATTTCTAGCCGTGCTTCGGCAGACAGTATAGGTTCCAATCAGCTGGGGAATCAGGACAGATAACCAGTCCAACTCCACCATCCGTTATTGGGAGTGAGTGGGGTGTCTTTTCCTTGTCTCTCTATCTCTGCTACTAAGTCAATTGAGCTATACATTTATCTGAGCTAGAGAAACAGGCTTGGTTACACTTTGCTTGATCTATAATCCACACTCCTTATTTAATCTGTAAAGTATGTATACAGCATATCTGATGTATATCTAACAGCCTTTTTATCCTCCTCATTGCCACCATTCTTGACAGACACCTGGTATTTCTTTCGCATACACATAGCTCTCTCCCTACTAATCATCCCATCTTTTTATATCTTCTCCATCTCTTTACTCTCACATCCTCTTTCATGCTTTCTTTCTCAGTTGCGTAAAGACCGCAGTGATCAGTACAGTCGTTTGACAAGTCGTGGCTGTGCAGTTTACCTGTGCAGGTGTGACTCCTATCTCCATGTTGTGGTCCATGAGGATTCGGGAATCTCCTGCCATCCTCAGCTGAAGCTCAAAACCTGTAAGACAGAATTAAGTAAAATAGTCCATTAAATTTAGGCTTTAAAACGTACATATCTTCCAAATATTGTAGGCATTTTGTTAGTATCTACAGCAGCACAATGAGATGCAGTTCATTGATCACCAACATTCAAATGAACCCAATATAACAGAGAATAAAGGTCAAAGCTACAGTGTGTGTACAGGCTTGATCCATGAGGTCTTTTAACCTTTAACCCTCAGCTATCTAAATTGGATACCCTCTTTGAAAAGTACATACATTATGTCTATGTTAACAATGTTGTGTTGATGTATAGCGCAATCCCCCAGACCCAATATTTTCTACCTGTCATTTAAATAGTTTCAGTTTGTCAATATGTCAATATTAGCCAACTGGCGTAATTAGAACCCAAAAGATACGCATTAAAAGGTCAGATCCTCAACTGAGTAAGATGTTTGCATTTGTATCGGCTGTAATATTTTTTTTCTAAATAGCGTGAAGCATTTTGTTATACAGGTGCTCTACAGGTAACTTACTGTTAATGCATCTCACTTGTCAACTAGAGGAATAACATTGGAGTGTTTGTAAAGGATGTTGTATCTTAAAATCTAATTAATTAATCTCAATAGAGGCACAGTTTAGGTTGGGAACATAAAATAAATGTTCAAATAATTAAATTTTTCTTCTTATAGATTATTTATTGATTTCTAATAAATTATAAAAATCACCACAATGCAAAAAGTCCTTAATTGGACTGAGGACAATCATTTGCAAGACAAATAAATCTGAAGATTAATGGTAGCTGGGGCTGCATCCATAATGTGGAGGTCAGTCAAAAAGAGCCATTGCCAAATGTCATCAATCGAACTTTGGTGAAACCATTGTCAGTTCAACTCTCCCACCACAATAATGGTGGTGTCACAAGAGAATGTACTGCATAAATCAGCCGTCGCAATTCCTTTTTTTTTTTTAAATAAAATTAAATATAATTAGAATGTGAATATCTGTCTAAAGGTCTAGTCCACCACTGTGTCCAGACTGTATCTCAGTATCAATTTTGATGATCCTCTGGCTTTTCCGTTAGTGCCACCAGCCGGTCAACTTTTTCACTTATACAGTTTTCACTAATTAACATGCTGACATTAGCATTTAGTTCAAAGCACCACTGTGATTAAAGGTCCATTTAGGAGGATCTATTGGCAGGAATGCAATGTCATATCCATAGGTATGTTTTGATTAGTGTATAATCACCTAAAAATAAGAATCAATTTTTTTTTATCTACAGACACCATGGGTTGCCTTTTTTGAAGCCACCATGTTTCTGTAGCCCAGAACAGACAAACTAAACACGGGCTCTAGATAAGGAAATGTTTTGTGCATGTCACTGCTGTAGACATTTTGTGCTTTTAATGAGCACAAAATGTTGATAATTAATGTGTTGATACTGAAATTTACTGGCAATGTATTTAACTTTTCCCAAGAATATGCACACTTGAAATAAAATATCTGCTAGCAACTGAAGAATGTTTTTTTATGGTTATGTTCAAACATTCACAGCATAATTTAAGGTTAAGGAACAATTATGGTCAACACTGACTTGAATCATGACACAGGATTTATGCTTTTGTTGCCTAAACATAACCACACATTGGTTGTAGCACATGTGACACATGGCAAAGTATCACTTCTAGGAATTATGTTTCCCTCAAAATGTGTTTGGCAAAACAAATGAGTTGTACGTAATTTGTTTTGGAGACAGGTTTGGCATATTCGTGAATAGAGCACCAGCCATTAATGGCCTTTGTTGCTTTCCCTGTAAAAAAAAAAATAAAATCATGCTACATTAAATATTAACACATTTATGTTAAAATATTAACCCATATTTGAAGTTAAATATCACCACAGCATCACAACTCACAGCATTCTGTGTATGGGGAAGAATACATCATTTTTTAAAAGCTAGGAAATCTAGTTCCATCTAACAGACCTGTCCGCATGTGTACAGAAATCATGATAAAAACAATACAATTGCTGCATGTCCCTACTATACTAGTATAGACAAATATGATAAAATAGGATAAAAAAAAGTGCAGCATTTTCAGCGCTTAAAGACCTAAGTAAAGGATTAGCTGATATCACATGGGAGATGACCCAGTGGACACTGCTGGCTAATTTGCCTGTACAATGAAGCAGGCTCAGCTGCTGTGTTTTTAACAACGTCATTTCCCAAAGAGCAAGCTTGTCATTGCCAGCATTGCCAGTTGCTTCGACAACTTATGCCCACATGCACACACAGACACAGACACACAACTCTCTATGTGTATGCAAAGCTCTCACACTGCTCCACCATGGCCACACCATCCGTCAGATCAGAGGCAGTGATTGCTTTCTTAATCGGCTGGAGACAAAGAAATAAATACTCCAGTTGGCTTGTTTTTTTTTTTTTACATTTAACCTAATATAAAACAAAAAAAGTATACATATTATCTGTATGGTTGTTTTTAGCTCCACTGGAGTCATGTGCTGGCAGTCTACACTATGTGATTTGAGTTTAAAGAGCATTTCTCTGCTCCTGAGTTGTGTGCTGAAACAGGTATTTTTAAACATCAGTTATGCGAGGAACAAAGTGAAAGGAGAAATAGAATAGGAGCACTTTCAATGTCTCTTCAATGATGTGGGATTTAATAACAGCCACTGACTATACTTATAGGGGGGAGTGGGAGTGTGAGTTTGGAGGGGGGCTCAGATAAAGCCCTAATTTTAGCAGCAATCTTTCAACACCTTTGGAGCTCCACAAGAGGCAATTAACTTATGAAGCCCCTGGGTGTTGTTTGAAAATCAACTACTTTTAATTTACTAAAAGAACAAGGGATACACGGGACTTGCAACCAAGCTAGCAAAAGAACATGGGTAAATTACTTTAGCCACTGGTTCCTGACCTTAACAACATCTGACATTTCTTTGTCATCTGTCTTTGATGTTACTCTATTTGATCGCTGACAAGCAAGGAGAGGGAATGCAAAGGCGAGCGTGGAGAAGTGAGAGGACCACGTCACAAATCAGATCCACACAGGAATGTAGTGTTGACATTGATGGTCCAAAGCAAAGGGCAGAGTGACGTGACATGCATATGAGTAGGGAAAAGACAGACAGACGGACAGCAGAGGCGCGGGACACACACAAAGCTTCCGAAAAACCTCACTGAATACATTAAAGGGGTTGGGGGTTGCAAGGTCTCGCTTTCTGACTCATTTTAGGTTCTCTCATGAATTAAACATGGCTCCCTGGAGATTTGTGAACTCCAGACCTGTGTGTGTTTTCAGCGGGGCTGTGATTGCGGTGTCTGTTCGCAGCAGCAGACTCAACAAGCCCAAATGGGAGGTGTTCGAACATGGATACCAGCTGGGGTGTTTTATCTTGGCGCTTTAAGAGGGTAACAAGCATTTATCTTGTTACCGAGAGAGTGACAGGATGCTTTGGCTGAATTGTGTTTGTGTCCTGATAACAAGAGCACTCATCTGTTGTGCTTAAAGCCAAGGGATACTAGTAAACCAGGGAACTTGCTTCCTAAGGGATATCTACAGGACATATATTTTCCTTATTTGCTGACACTGCACGCTGTAAACAATAATCTGCACAGGGCACAGCAAAATGTGTCTTTTTTCCTTTCTAACCTGTGGCAAGCTCTATAATTTCCCCCTAGGGCCAGCATTGTAGTGAATAGCACTTGCTTCATGATTTAATTTTCTCCATTTTCAGAACTTCAGAAACTTGTGTTGTCAGCTCTGTGTGCAGTTCTGAAAGGTAAGAGCTGGCTTGGAGCTGAGCCAAGAGAAGGTTTTTATCAATACTAATCACTGTTCTAATAAAGCCCCTGCAACAGATTAATTACCTGAATTATAATTCTCACTTGATCAACATAATTGTAAACTGTTTCATTCTGTGAATTACCTTTTTATTTCCCATTATATGGAGGTAATCAATTTAGTTTTTCTAGCCTGTGGAGAAACACTGTTTCCTGCCTAAAATTTGCACAGATGTGCCTGTTTTGCAAATACTGAGAATGCTGCTTGCTGCTGTTGGGTACAAGCTTCGTATTTCCAAATTATAAACTTTTCAGGAAAATAATCAGCAGTATTCTGTATCTAACATAACCGTTTTATTAACCCTTCTATAGGCCAAGCTCTGACCTGATAATAGTGTTTATGCCACTGAGCATGACAGGGTTACAAATGGCAGAAAGATGTTGCACACTCAGCAATATCCCTGAGTTTACAATACAAATTTGACTATAAGTGGGCACTCATCCATATATTTTGAGGTCATAGCTTGCAGTTTTCAGTCGGTTTATCAAACACAGTGCTGACACAAGAGAAACAGAGAAAAATAGGCAAAAAAGAAAAAGAAAAAGAGCAAGGGAAAGGGGAAAAAATAAAGATAAAGGTTGCAGCTGAGCTTTTAAGAGTATTGAAAGAGCAGCTATATTTACAGAATCACTTCATCAGATACCTACAATGGTAGAGTCACTCCAGCTTATCTGCTGTCTCAGTTCCTTGACCATGGAAGCACTAGAACTTTCTATTTCCTTGATTCCCTACCCTCCGTCACTCCTCCCCTTGAGTAAAAGCAAAGACTCATGGTTACCGGGCCTGTCATGATTATGTCCGGGGCTAAGATTGGCCCATAAAATAACATGGCTTCATCCCTATCGCTGCTCACTTATGACACTTTGAGGTCGGGCAGGTCAAATGACTAAAAACGTCCCCAGCTAGTTTGGCTCCAGGCCCAGCAAACACACGCACACACACACGCACACACACAAACTTCATACCATCCCTCCCTCCCCGTTTATGCCCCGATAGTGAGCTGAGTGTATCCAGTTGTGTCCTTCTCATGGATGACCTTCTCTGGAGTGACACTGCTGCACGGAGATGTTCGACTCACACTGGAGAAACAATTTCCCTAATGATATGTCCAACTCTCTCTCTCCCTCTCTCCCTCTCTCTCTTTCTCTATCTCA